TTATCCATTTGCCAGTTGAAGTACATTTGGGTTGCTTCCAATTTTGGTAACTATGAATAAAGCTATCATAAGTATTTGCATACAACTTTCTGAATGAACATAAGCTTTCATTGCACTTGGGTAATTACCATGAGTGGGATTGTTGAGTCATGTGAAAATTGTATATTAAACTTTATAAGAAAATATCAAACTATTTTTCAAAGTGGCTGTGCTGTTTTTGCCCACCACAATATGTAAGAGATACACTTGCTCCACATTCTTACCTCACTCGGTACTGTCAGTTTTTAAAAATTAGCCATTCTGATAGGTATCTAGTGGTATTTCATTGTGTTTTAACTTGTATTTTCCTAATGACTATTGATGTTGATCATTTTTCAAGTACTTATTTGTCATCTGTATATCTTCTTTGGTGAAGTGTTTATTTAAATCTTTTGGCAGCCCCCCCATCTTTATTTTTGAGTCGGAGTCCCATTCTGTCACCCAGGCTGGAGTGCAGTGGCACACTTATGGTGACCACAGCTTTGACCTGCTGGGCTCAGTGATCCTTCTGTCTCAGGCTTCCAAGTAGCTGAAACTACAGGTGCGTGCCGCCATGCCTGGCTAATTTTTTGGTTTATTGTAGAGACGACGTCTCACCAAGTTGCCCAGGCTGGTCTTGAACCCCTGTGGGCTCAGGCAATCCTCTCGCCTCTGCCTCCCAAGGTGCTAGGATTACAGGCATGAACCCCTGCGCCCGACCTTTTGCCCATTTTCTAAATTGGGTTATTTGTTTTCTTGTTGAGTTCTTCTGAAGAGCTAACATTTTCAATTTTGGTAAAGTGCAGTTTTCATATTTTTTCTTTTATGGATAGTGTTTTTGGTTCTCGTCTTGGAAATCTTTGCCTAACCAAGATTACAAAGAATTTCTCCTGTTTTGTTCAAGAAGTTTTATAGTTCTTGGTTTTATATTCAGGTTCTATGATTCACCTTGAGTTAATTATATATGGTACAAGGTATAGATTGAGATTCTTTTTTCTTTTTACATATATATGACCAATTGTTCCAGCACCATTTGTTGAAAAGACTATCCTTTCTCTATTGGATTTCTTTTGTATCTTTGTCTTTCTCTCTCTCTACACACACACACACACACACACACACACACACATACATATATATGTTTTGAACTCTCTGTTCTATTGATTTGTGCATCTAGTGAGAAATTGTTTTTGTTTGCATGTGGTTGAATATGAAGAAACAATCAACAGAATGTACTTAGGAGCCAGACTCCCTAGATCTGAGACTAAGCTCAAGGACTTACTAACAGTGTGACCTTGGACAAGTTATTTAGCTTCTGTGTGCCTTGATTTTCTCATCCATAAAACAGAGGTAATTATAGTGCATAACCCTCATAGGGGTTTTTATGGACTGAGTGAATGATTGTAAAGCACTTAGTATGATGCCTAGTACATATATAATGCTTCTTATACCTTTTTTTAAAAATTTTTTTTTTTTGGTTTTTTTTTGAGTTGGAGTCTCCCTCTGTCGCCCAGACTGGAGTGC